CTCTGATCTACAGCAATGTTCCTCAACCTTGGGAATTTAAAGATGTGTGGAGTTCAATCTCCACACTAACCGAAAGTTATGGAAGTTGAATTCATATAAAGTTGCTAACATTGAGGAACGCTGATGTACAGAATTCCCGTTTCCTGAACTGTTATACTGATCAGAGGAAAGAGGGCTAAAAGGGGGTCATATACAGGTAGAAAGTATATTTTACATTTGTTTATTATAATGACCCAAGAAGTAATGGAACATCATGAGATATTACTCCTTTTTCACTTTTGAGTCAGTTTTGACCCCTGGTGACTGCCTGGAGAAGTTCCTACATTTTTGAAAGCAAAGATTTCAGAAATGGTTTGCCATTGTTTTCTTCCCAGGGCTGGGAGAAAATGACTGGCCTGAGGCCATCCAGCTGGGTTTGTGGCTCAGGCAGGACTAGAACTCATGGTCTTTCAGTTTCTAGTCTAATGGCTTTAGACTAATACACAAAGTTGGCTTTTTCACTACTTCTAGGGCATTATTAAAAGTCTTTTATTATTTCAAGCATCTAGGCATTTGAGAATCATGTGATCATGGAAAGGCAGGATTTTATTTTGTCCTGTTATTTTATATTCGATGTTTCTAACGTTTTTAATGTTTATTAACATTAAATTTGAATTTAATTCCTCGTGACACAACCACGTAGTTTTCTCAATGATAATATAGAAATCATTTGGCAATGCTTTTCAACCTCAGTCTAATATGTGGTTTTGGATGTCTTACACAGTTCCTCATCTAAATATCAATTAGATCCAATTCTCCTTACCTTTCTAGATCAACAAAACCTGGATAAATACTGCCAAATCAACTGGGCTTGAATACAGGGAAGCTTTCCTATAGCTGAACTATGTGTAATGATACTCCCTAAGGGTGAGATAGGCAGTACCTAAATTTCATTAAATAAATAGAGACAGAGGAAAGTCATTTGGTTGATGCTAATTTGCCTATTGTCTTACCTGTAGGAATTTATCAATTATAAAGGATCATTCAAGGCATTTGAGCCAGAAGTGGTATTCAGCAGGTTCTGACTAGTTCTGGAGAACCGGTAGTGGAAATTTTGAGTAATTCGGAGAACCGGTATATACCACCTCTGACTGGCCCCGCCCCCATCTATTCTTTGCCTCCCAAGTCCCAGCTGATCGGGAGGAAATGGGGATTTTGCAGTAACCTTCCCCTGGAGTGGGGAGGGAATGGAGATTTTACAGTATCCTTCCCCTGCCATGCTCACCAAGCCATACCACACCCACCAAGCCACACTCACAGAACCGGTAGTAAAAAACTTTGAATCCCACCACTGATTTGAGCCCAAGGTGAAGTTCAGATCCCATTTAGCACCGGCTGCTAAATGAAAGACGTTAGCCTCAGAATATCCAGTGAAAATAACAGATGTAACAGATTAACAGAGTGGAAGGGACCTTATAGGTCATCTAGTCCAACCCCCTGCTGAAGCAGGAGACCCTACACCATTTCTGACAAATGACAGTCCAATCTTTTCTTGAAAGTCTCAAGTGATGAAGCTCCCACAATGTCCGAAACAAGCTGTTCCACTGGTTGACTGTTCTCACTGTCATCTCTCCTTGGTCAGTTTCCATCCATTATTCCTTGTCTGGCCTTCAGGTGCCTTGGAAAACTGCTTGACCCTCTCCTCTCTGTGGCAGCCCCTCAAGCAGGGGTGAAATCCAGAAGGTTCTGACAGGTTCTGGAGAACCGGCAGCGGAAATTTTGAGTAGTTTGGAGAACTGGCAAATACCACCTCTGGCTGGCTCCAGAGTGGGGTGGGAATGGGGATTTTGCAGAATCCTTCCCTTGCCATGCCCACAAGCCACACCCACCAAGCCACAACACACCCACCAAGCCACACTCACAGAACCAGTAGGATCTCACCACTGTCCTCAAGTATTGGAAGACAGCTATAAGAAACCCATTTACTGAGTTTCAAGCCAAACTACAAAAAACTTTATTTTGCCGTTGGGGTTTTGCCCTTTTCTTTCCATTTGTAATTCCAGCAGAATTGTACATCAATTCTTCTCAAAAGGAGACATGACTGCCTCTGTTCGCAGTCTTTTAAGTCCCTCTGCTTGGCCTGCAGGAGGCATCATAAGTAAATGAAGAAGCTCCTTCTGCTGCTGTGAAATTAGTAACCCTCCATTAACTCCAGAAATAAGTCTGCGATTTATGAGGGTCATTGCACCGGCATTTATCAAAATGAGCTTTTCTTCAAATTAGCATCCCCAAGCCTCCTTGACAATTGGAATTCACAACTACCGAAATAAATGTAGTAGCCACTCAGAACTTGCCATTCCTAATGCATTCTTCAGAACCTGCTGGCTCATTTAAAACACACACACACACACACACACACACACACACACACACACACACACACTCACCCTGTCCTCCCTATTCTTAACTAAACACCTATTATATTAATGTTTAAAATCCATTTAAGTTCATCAGGGGTGGCTTTGCCAAAGGACCTTGACTTTACTGGTGTAATTAGAGGATGCATTGCCCCCTAGTGGTGGCTCATGCTTGCAAAAGAAGCTGTGACTTAAATTGGATGAACCTTCGGAAAGAGACAGAATGCAAAAACAGAAAGGAAAATTACATATACGCTCTGAGACAGGGATATAGAAGCACAACCACACATGAACGTACTCAGAGATATGATACACACACAAACATGCTGACAAAACTCTGTTGCAAGTCCGTTATCCATAAAGCTGTGGTCCAAGTTAGCTTATATAATTTATGACACAATTTTCAAGATGCCAAAAGATTGTGTAGGTGCTACGGTTTTTTTTTTTTTTTTTTGCAGAATAACATGACTGCCATTTAGGGAAGGTATTATTGGGGTTTTTTGCTGTAAGGACACTGATGACATCAGGAACAGTAACTGTTTACAGATAGTCCTAGACAGTGGTGGGATTCAGCCAGTTCGCACCTATTCGGGAGAACCGGTTGTTAACTTTCTAAGCAGTTCGGAGAACCGGTTGTTGGAAGATATCTTATTTTGTTTTTTCCCACTTTACAGGGCTAATCCTGTAAGGAAGGCAGGAAGGAAACATTCTGATATTTCTAGCCTAATCTTTATTGCCCTGCTTATAGAAACTGCCTCTCTGGTTAACCCTTATTACATTGAAACAGCTAAGGTGAAGCGCCCATCGATGTGAGTGACATTAAGTTGACCATGCCCACACGGTTACATGATCACCAAGCCACGCCTACCAAGCTGGTCATTAGGGCAGAGAAACGGTTGTTACATTATTTGAATCCCACCACTGGTCCTAGACTTAGGACCACAATTGAGCCCAAAATTTACATCACTAAGCAAGACAGTAGTTAAGTGACTTTTTCCCCATTTTACAACCTTTCTTGCCGCTGTTGTTAAGTGAATCACTACAGTTGTTAAGTTAGTAGCACAGTTGTTAAGTGAATCAAAATCTTGATTTTGCTTGTCAGAAGGTCGCAAAAGGTGATCACATGACTCCAGGACACTGCAACTGTCATAAATACGTGCCACTTATCAAATATCTGAATTTTTGATTTTGTGACCATGAGGATGCTGCAATGGTCATAAGTGTGAAAAACAGTTGTAAGTCACATTTTTCAGTGCCCTTGTAACTTTGAATGGTCACTAAATGAATGGTTATAAGTCAAGGACTACTTGTATTGTTTCTGATTTCTTAAGGAGGTAAATATGTGCTCTCGCAGGGAGACTTATTCTTGAAAAGTAATGTGAGTAATGTACCTCTCTTTCCATTTTCCTAAGCATTTCACCAACAAAGAAAATTAGGATGATTAAAAGATAGTTCAGTTTTTTTTTATTTGGATTGCTTTAGAAAAAAATAAAAAATAAAAATTACAAAATGAAAAAAAGAGCAAAATGCAAGAAGGAAAATTTCAAAAATATAACAAAAACAATTCTGTGAAAAAAGATGTAAATGAAAACAAATGAATACAAGAGAACGGTTGTTCCAAAAATGAAATGAGACTAAAAATGAAACTAAAATGTAATCAAAGAGAACAAGGAACATTTAAATTAAAAAAGGCAAAGAAAATGTAGAGCAATTTTAAAAGTAAAACAATGGACATTGCTCAATGTCTCTGGTTTCTAACATTTGCATCAAATTCAAGTTAATAAGTAATATATTCCTTAATCTATATACAAATTTACATAGCTCCTATTTCACTATATATCAAGTATACAGTACTTTACTTCCTAAACAGCTATACATATATTTAGTAAACCTATATTAAATTCACATTTTAAAACTAATAAAATATTTAATTTAAAAAAATGTAGAGCAATTGTGTTGATTTTTTTTAAACATATATTTTAGAAGTGGGAGAAGAGGGCTAAACAAGGAGCTTCCAGCAGAATAAATAGAATTACAAATAAAAGTGATAAACTTATATGATATGTGATTGCAATGATAGAAGGATGGCAGAAGTGTTTGAAGGAATGATCGTGAAATGTCAAATTGGAATTGAAACAAATGTTATAAATGTTAGTGTCTATAAAATATGAAAAAGAAGATTTCAACGTGAGTATATGTTGAAAAATGTTCAATATGCAGGTATGGACAGTGTAAATAGAGAGTTGCGAAAATACGTTTTATGTGTAGAGTGGCAGTGCGACCTATTTAACAGTTGCATGAAGACCAAGTCAGTGCTTGACTATTGGGAGAAAATCCACCATTATTCCTCTATCCAAATTAAAAGATAGCAAGGGTGAATGCACAAATGGCGGGGAGAGGAGTTAAATACTTTCCAAGCCGTCCTTAATTAACAGAATCCTCGTTGAAAAGATATGGCAGCTGAGAATGAGTAAAATGGGGGAGGGGATTTATGCCTTTCTGCAGGTCATTGAGAAATGTATGAAAGTGAACAAGGAAGATTATTGATGTTTGTTGATGCAGAGAAAACATGCGATAATGAAAAAGACTTGAATTATGAGAACTTGCTATGGTTCTCCATTCAAAGGATCCATCCACTTGCTTACTTGAAGCACTGCAAAAGCTCTTCTGACGCTCCGAATGGAGGCAGGGAGAAGTATAATCAGATGATTAGCTAAGTAAACTACTTTCGTGAATACCAGAAAAGGTAAATATAATAAAATTAGGACAAGGTTCAAATAATGTTGGGTTGGGTTTCTTAAAAACAGTCTTTCTATACCATTAAAAGAGGGAGTTGGCATTATCAAGACAACTGGTATTATGGTCAGCTGGAAAATAGGAAAAATCAGAAGCAAAAATACACAAAAGGAAATACATGACATCAGTGTGGCAGCTTCCAGAATTTTGTCAGCATGGCTTTTATGAGGAGGATTGATCTTGGACATTGTTTCTCAACCTTGGCAACTTTAAGACGTGTGGGCTTCAACTCCCAGAATCCTCTAGCTTGGACACCAGGCCAGTTCTAAGCTTCACGATTTAAGAGGAACATTGACAGGTGGGAAGGTCTCCAGAACAAGGTGGCAAGAATGAAGTAGGAAGATGGCATGCCTGGCTTGAGGAGTAAATCAGTATTGAATTTATTTGAAAAGGGTATACCTACACTAATTCAATAGCTCTGAATTTTTGTGATCCCATGACTTCAGCTGTGTTCAAGAGATGACCCTCCAAATGGTGTTTTTCAAAAGGCAACTGGACTCCCCCCCCCCCCTTGGAAATGTTTTGCTTCTGAACTGAAGCAACTTCTTGGATGGGAAGCAAAACATTTTCAAGGGGGGAAAAAAACCAAGAAAGTCCAATTGCCTTTTGAAAAGCACTTTTGAGGCAACCTTGACCTGGATGATTGAGAATCTCCATAGACAGAGAGGTGAACCTATTTATTTCTGTCTGAGCTGCAATGTGTGCTGGAAAGCATGGCAAGATCTAGTCACTATTGTTTTTTAAACTACAACTTTGTGGTGATTGTAGATTATCTGCTTCTCCATTTGCTAGGATTCCTGCCTCAACAGCCACTCTTGTTATAATGGTCTTTGAAGAGAAAAAGTAAATTGATCCTTTTTACTCCCCCTTATATGATCAAACTCTCTATAGCAAAGAAGGCAGGGGAAGAATAAACTAATTTATTCTACTGTATTTCACTTTTGCCTAGAGAGGGGTAAAGGAAATTTTTGTTCCCGATAATGTGAGGGCAGTGATTTCTGCAGTGGGGTTGCAGTTCTAATCCATATCTTAATCTATGCACTTTAAAACCTGAAGAGAAAATAAAATGAATTGTTAATGATAAGCAATGCACTAGGTATCAATGTTCTATCTTTAATCATTTATAGTAGGTTTTCCAGAACTGATACTCTCCAGAAGTATTGGACTTTAGTTCACATAATTCTTCAGGGTTTATATTTGGAACATGGGAGGTTCCCAGTAGTGCATTTCAAACTTGGTGATATTTTGGGATTTTTGCAGAATTCCAGCTAAGGGCCCTCTTTGGCTCTCTATGTCTCTGCCCCTGCTCCAGTTCCAGTCTGCATATTATGGATTGGATAGTCAGAAATGGAATGCAATTATTTTGGAACTAATGTTGTGCTACTACTCTGTTTCCCCCGAAATAAGACATCCCCTGATAATAAGCCTAACCGGGTTTTAGAGCGCATGGCAATAAGGCCAAACGCTTATTTCAGGGTTCAAAAAAATATAAGACAGGGTCTTATTTTTGGGGAAACATGGTAGTTTTTCTATAAATTTGTTGTCAAGATTGGCTGGCCATTACAACTTGCATCATTTCTTTTGCCAGACTCAAGCACCAACTTCACAAGTCCAAATGGGAGAATATTATAGCTTGGCCTGTTTGAATATCCAGATCTTTTTTTTTAAAACGCCCATGTATGGACATACACACACCAAGATGTGTATTCAATTGTTATGCTTGTTCTAATACTTGAATGATCAAAACTGCTCTCAGTAGGAAATGTTTTCCACTAAGAATATCGTACTCATTATTGTTTATATCCGTTTACCAGATCGTTTTTTGTTGATTGGTATTATTCTTGTTGCCAGAAGGTGGCAGTAATATTTAAACTTTTCTTTTCTGGCTGATTTAATTGGCTTCATTTGGGCCTGGAAAGCTAGATCATTTTAGCACCTGGATTTTCTTATGCCCCACCTTCCACTCACATTTAGAATTGGTCCTTGACTTACATCCATTCATTTAGTGACCATTCAAAGTTACAACAGCACTAAAGTGACTTAAGACCAATTTTCACACAACCATTGCAGTATTCCCCATAGTCACGTGATCAAAATTCAGACACTTAGCAATTGGCATGTATTTATGATGGTTACAGTGACTTGTGATCTCCTTTTGCAACATTTTGATGAGCAAAGTCAATGGGGAAGCCAGATTTATTTAACAGCTGCATTACTAACTTAGCTATTCCAGTGATTCACTTAACAACTGTGGCAAGAAAGGTTGCAAATTGGGGCAACTCGTTTAACAGCCATTTTGCTTACCAACAGAAATTTTGGGATCAAATGTGATCGTAAGTCGAGAGCTATCTGCGTTACTTTAAAAGGAAGCCCAGAACTAAGTTTTCTCATCTCTGTCCCTACAATGAGAGAGATCAAGGCAGATGGATGGGATCTGAGAGGCGTTTGGAAAGTCCTTGGAAGAGCTACAAGTAACAGCTGGAGATAGGGCAGGGGGTCGAGCATTCACCCCTGCAATTGCTAGGAGTTGAGCCCAAGTCAAAATAACTCTTTCTCTTGTTTGTCTTCCTCTTAAAACTTTCTTTTACAACAGCTTCTACATTTCTTATCATGTTAAGTGAACCAACAAACTTGCCAGTTTTGATGATTCTTTGGTACATGAGCTGTTTGGTATCAGACACTCACTTTAATTATGCTACCGTATCATAATTGCAGCAATAAGATGGAGTTTTGCTATATAAAATGAGAGTTGGAACTATTGCATCAGTTCTCTTGGGCTACCAGCATATTCAGTACAGTTGCTTGGGAATAAATAATTTGCGATGGGAACAGAATTTATAAAATAAACAGCAGGTTTATAAATGAGTACTTGTCTGGCTGCAAATAAGAACAAAGGAGGCTGCAGCAGACCCAAATTTATTTGATTGATTGATCGATGAATTTGTAAACTGTTCCATTCATACAAATCTGTGTAGTGCACAGCAGGCAGGGTGCAAACATGATCGAACTGATCCACATGAAAGGAAGCTAATCAAAACACAGCATCACATCAGACGGTTTCTTTCTGTCACACTACAAGCCAAACGCTCAGTGAAATAACACGCTGGAACCATTCTCCTTTTCTGCTCCTTGCAACATTTGTCACCTTCTGGGTGACCATATGGGGGAAACTTCACAATGTAGGACATGAGTGTCCAATAAGAAAGTTCAAAACAGTCAACACTTCTGCAACCACATGATTGAAGTGCCATGCCTTGTTTACAAATGTTGCACATGTTGTAGCTATCATCTTGATTTTTTTGCATATACATTTTGTAGGGTAGTACAAAACTCATCTCCCTGTGCTAAAAATCCACACACCTGGAATAAAAAAAAGTCAAAGTTCTTGTCCTCGACATATTAGCTTTTCGTACTTAGGGAGGTATATTGTACTTATAAGCTGCTCAGAATTAGTTTGGTTGATGTAGTTTATGTAAACCCAGTAAATAGTACACAAACAAAATATTTATATCCAGGAAAAGCTATACTTATTTGTAATGAGTAACTCACAAGTACATTCTTATTGAAGGAGACTCAAAGGTCTAGTGACAACAGCAGCACTTCTGAAAATATCTAAAGCTCAGATCTCATCTCCAAAAATGGTTGTTATTTATTGTTAATGCTTGATGCAAAAGCATGTGAAATCCAATAGAGGGTACTCTAAGATTTCCAATGAGTTAACTCAAGAATTCTCCCTAGAATACTCCAGCGGTTCCCAACTTTTTGCTGACAGGACTTCTGTTTCTCATCAAAAACTTTTGCAGATCATCACCTAAGAAAGCCGTTTTGTAACATAGCTTACAGCTGCTGGAAATCAAACCTGTATGTCAAGGAATGTTAAAAATACAGCTATTCCTTGTAATTGATTATTAACCAGAGTTCCACTGGATAGCTGGGCAGCCATATAAATGTGTATAATAAATTCTAAATAAATAAATGGAATCAAAAAAGAACCACTGGAAAGCTATTGACGGTACAGTTTAATGTTTGCCACTTAAGCTGCTTCCTTCAATCTCAATTCTTAATTTCTTTCTCATGATCCCAGAATGAATTCTATATCTTTCATAATAGTTCTCTTCTGAAACCCTAAATGTTAGGGCTTTTTTTTTAAAAAAAGAGCAGCCCATGAATGTAATAAATAAAATCCTTATAGTAGTTACTCACCTGTTTGTGAAGTTAATTTTTTAAGAGATGCACATGCTTTCCAATGTTGAATTGAATTTGTGTTAATAATGCACAAACCCCATCTAAATTCAAGATTAAAAAATACAGTTTTTTTCAACTGTTTAACCTGTTTTGTTTATTTTCATTCTGTTTCCTGATCTTTAGCCAATTCCTGGACCATAAGAGAACCCTTTCTCTTATCCCATGACTGCTATGTTTGCTCTAGAATCCAGAGTCTTTTTTAAAATACCAATAAACAAAATTTCTAAACGACATTTTAGTAATATCCAATCTCGCCTTTAGCAAATAATCTGTCACATCATCTTTACCGTCTTGAAGTGTGCCTTGCTTTGCTTGTAGGTCCCGCTGGGCAGCTTAAATCTTAATTGGTTAAAATTGGTCTTCTGTTAGATTGCTGATCCTTCTATCCAAGCAAAGTAGACATGAAGCTAATACCTTGCAAGCACAGTTAGACCTTTACAGAGAAACTCAATAGAATGAAAATCAGACTGAATGGATTCCTTCTCCTTTATGCCCTCTAGTCCAACAATTTGCCTGTTCTAACCACAACCATCCTTTGTAGGAAGGGATATTTATCTCAAGATGAGTGGGAAGATGGGCACAAAGCCCATGTAAGCCTAGCTCAGAAGGAAGAGAGAAAGAATCTGGACAATCTGGAACTGCGTCACCTGCAGTCCGATCTAAGCAGAGTAAACAAAATTATCTGCTACAACATCTTACCTATCA